AGCCAGTGAGTAGAAATTGTGACGTGAACAGAAATTCTAACATTTACTATAATAAATGGGAGACGAGAGGATTAATTCTTCTGTTCAGTACTGTTGATTATCCAGGAAAACTCTGATTATTTATTTGTAAGAAACGTTTAAACGATTTTCATTATAATTAATTACCCCCGATATTTGTGCGGGTAGAATGAGAAGTTTAAAGACGGAAGCAACAGCCAAGCATTTTACATTTTATATCCGTTCCTGAGAGAATTAAAGTACTCGCGATGCAAAACTTCCGCGGCAAACAAACTTTTTCACTCCGCGCGCCGGAGAAATATTAAAAAGGAGAAACGGATGGAAAACCAACGTTTCCGGTGTTCCGCGGAGAGCCGCGCCGTTTCTTTTGTCATTGTTTTAGTTCGGAACATTATCGTTTGGTTTGAGTAAGAAGAACTTCCGAAATGGGTGGAACTTGTTATAAAAGTCTTTCTTTGTAGAACTGGCGCCCGGCGAACTCGAAAATAGTTGAAATAGTGGAGAAACTAGACAGATAAAAGTTCGTAGCAAACAAACCACAAAATTGTGCTATGTACACAGTGTACATAGATACGATAGATGCACAATGGAATAAATTGACATTCTACATGCAAAAAAATCATGGATTTAACAAAATACGCGTTTGTTCCACAAAATGGATTTTTTAAATACGTAGTTTTCATGAAAATTCACAATACATAAATAATATTATCCACTTCATTATTATTATATCGACTTTATGAATATTTAAACATTTACTATACATACATTTACCATTAGGTGGAGTTTATGATTATTTAAATATTTACTGTACGTCCGCGGTTTCCAGTCTGGGGAGCGCGGCTCCCAAAGGACGCGCGGAATATTGCCAGGGGAACCGCCAAAACTTTTTAATAAAAAATTAATGTTCATACTATAATATCTACAAATAAATAAATTTCATATTGTAATAATACAAATTCAGTGAAGTAATGCTTCTTTTTATTTTTTTTAC